AATTACGTATAACTCCCACATCAGAGTACTTACAACCATATAATTGGTATCAATTTGAACGTCAGCCACTCCTCTTGGATATACTATCAACATCTCGGGTCTTTGTCCGTTAGGAGTAAATATATACGCTATAGAATACAAATTTTGTAATTTTTCACACAAAAGTCAGAGTCCATTTGACCCGCTAAATATTGACGTTTGGGCCATAATTGCGACCTCTGGAGCGATCAGAAAATCAGACAAAAATAAAGTTTTTGGTCCATTTCATCCCCTAAATATTAACGGATCTTTACCAAAAACAATAAGGGTCTTCATTGGCCAGAACCCATCCTACATGCAAAATGTCGTGAAGATTGGTCCATAACTGTGGCCTGTATCGTGTTTACAAATTATAATGGACAGACGGACGGACACACATGTCTAGATCGACTCACCTAGTCGAGATATGACGATCGGTATACTTAAAGGTGGGTCTAGGACCAATATTTCGGGGCGTTACAAACTCTTGGGGCTGCACAAAGCTATAATACATTGACAACATAGTTGTGTAGGGTATAAGAAGTTTAGATTAAAAAATTGTATGTCCTTTTGGGTTTTAGCATACTCGCCAAGGGCTTTCATCCCCAAATGACATGTATTTATTATTTGATGGGTAGTTCTTACCTTATACTCAAATTACGTTTACGTTTTTTTCACTGTACAATTATTTAGCATTGATATTAAATATTATGAAAATAAGTCTCTTGTACGGTATTACTTCCTTGTTTACCATGAACTTTAATCTCCTTAGAAAAGCGGAGAATACATCGTCGTCTATACCAACTGTAATGTTAATTGACAACGTCAATTAAATAATACTAAGAAGTATAATAATAAATGTAAATTTATTGACTTTGAAATAAATTTTGTCGGCAGCGATATTATTATCCCCTTGACATTTTGACGATGCGATACACCAACGCAATATCCAAACGGACGAAGAAGATGATGTAGCGTTTTGATAGTAGCTGTTTTGTTGTAAACGTTATCGTCTTAACGTTTGCCACTAATTGATGGTTAACGTCACTTTGGACAGTCTGTGTAATAAATATCTGTTGCCTTTTCTGATGTCTGGGGTTTATGTTTCAATATTTGTTTTGTTGTTTTATTATTATTATTGGTAAAGTAAAAAAGTCTTAACTACAAGTTTGTCTTAAATGTTAAATATTAATAAACTAATGTTTGATGGTAATCAACAATGTTGACATAGTGGTACTCTCCAGCTAGGTTACACTTTTTTTAGGATTCTCTTACAAAGGTAGTGGCAGCTGTAAATGAGAAAGAAGATGACATAAAAATTGTTTGGATTAGTAATTGAAAAATTAAAAAAAGGAAAAAATAGAAAAAATATTTGAAAAAGGTGCTGTAGTAACATTTTTTTGATAAAGTCATTAAATACATAGTGATGTGTGGCCAAAATTAATATGCAAAGAGGAACATATTGGGTCTTTTACTGGAATATATAATTTTTTAACCCAGTCCAAGGCGTAGAGTTTGTTAATAAATTTTACCCCTGTCCAAGGCGATTTTTTAAATATATGTTTAAACACCTTCACAAGGCGTAGATTTTTTAAATAATATTTTTAAAGACCTACACAAGGCGTAGATTTTTTAAATAATATTTTTAAAGACCTACACAAGGCGTAGATTTTTTAATTTTTTTAACACCTACCCAGGGTGTGGATCTTTTAAATAATTTATTAAAGGACCTACACAGGGTGTAGATTTTTTAAAGACCTATTCAGGGTGTATATTTTTTAATGACTTTTTTAAAGACCCATCTGGGGCGTAATTTTTTTAAAGCCCTGTACAAGGCCTAGGTTTGGCCTAGGGGATGATAGATACCAAGCAACGGCTCTGATTGGCTTTAACATGGTGAAGCCCAGGCTTATCTTGACCTCTCTTTCATCTCAATTGTGGACACTGACGTCCCCACGCTGTCACCTGGTGTAGCTATTTTCATCACCCGATGCTAATATGTGCCGCGATTTCACCCATAAGAACTATAAAAAAATGGGTTTAGGCGTCGGGTTAGTTGCCCACACTCGGAAAGCCCCTCCTACAACGAAAAACCAAAGAAAAAGAAAACCAAACCCCTAATGTTGACGACCCCCGCAAACGTATAAAGCATCACGATCTGCGAAACTGCACTTGGAATGTGCGCACGTTGTACAGAACAGGCACAGTTTTCGCTTTGGTGGATGTACTCAAGAAGTACAAAGCCGATATTATTGCCTTACAGGAAATGCGATGGAAAGGGACAGGCGTAAGTAAATCAGACGATTACGCACTGTATTACAGATGTCATGAAACGAGACATGAATTTGGCTGCGGGAGAATAAAAGACTACGTCTTCACTTTTACTCCAGTAGATGAGCGAATTGCTGTCATTTGCGCCCATGCTCCGACCGAAGATAAAGATGTACAGACCAAAGACATTTTACGATCGCCTAGAAACAGCATATGACCGTTGCCCTGGCCATGACATTAAAATTCTGCTAGGAGATTTTAATGCGAAATCGGAAGGGAAAATATCTTTGGCCCCACCGTCGGAAAATTCAGCCTTCATGAAGAAACATCCGACAACGGCATGAGGTTGATTGACTTCGCGGCAGCAAAGCATCTCGATATACACAAGGCTACATGGATCTCTCCCGAAGGCATTCATCCAGTGTTTTAGAGGCCCGATCGATCCGAGGAGTGAATATCGATTCGGCCCACTACCTTGTAGCCAAGGTTCGCACTCGTCATAATGTTGCAGCAAAGGTGCGATCTAACAAAAACTCGACGTGGAAAAGCTGCAAACACAATAGGTAGCCGAGGCCTATTCCGCTCAACTTACCCACCTTCGAAAGCACTTCTTGCCCCGATAATAGTATAGAAGCACAATGACAAAGAATTACCCACTCGCTACAAACTGCAGCAAAAGCAGCACTTGGGTACCAAAAACCACCACCAAGAAATCCGTGGTACGATCAGGAGTGTCGTAATGCTAATGAAAAACGCAGCATATAGCGCAACCCTGCAGACAGTAGCACCACGTAATCTAATAGAGAATTATCGGTAACAAAGGAGAGAGGAGAAACGTGTTTTCAGAAAAAAGAAGAAGGAACAAGAAAAACGTGAGCAAATCGAGATTTACAGGAGTCAAATGAAGTCCGGAAATTTTACCAAAGAGTAAAACACCAAACCGAAGGTTTTGGTGCGGGCACATCCTCCTGTGGAGATGAAGAAGGAATCTTGGTGACAGATACAGACAGCGTGTTGAGTATCTGGAAGGAGCATTTTGAAAAGCTTCTGGTATCAAATAGTGGCTGTGAAGAAGATACCCCAGAACCAATAAGAGATGATGAGGTCATAAAAGCAATTAATCGGCTCAAGGACAATAAACTATAAACTCTTCAAGACTGGTGGTCAGGAGCATGCACCAGCTGATTACTACAATTTGGCTAGAGGAATGCATGCCCAATGATTGGAACCTTAGAATCGTGGGTCCCGTGCACAAAAAAGGAGACAAGACGATATGTGCCAACTATAGAGGAATTAGCCTTCTTCCCATCGCATATAAAGTGCTATCCAATGTGCTGTGTGAACGATTGAAGCCAATGGTTAATGACATTATTGGACCATACCAACCTTCAGACCTGGTAAATCCGCCATTGACCAGATTTTCACTCTGCGCCAAATACTGGAAAAGGCCCACGAAAAACATCCTGCCCACGTTTTTAACATCCTGCTGGAAAAGGTCAAACGAGACATCGATATAATGGGTGGAACATTGCGAGCGGTAACAGCCACCTTTGAACAAATTGAGAAGGAGTCTGCCAACGTGGGTCTGACAGTAAACGGCGATAAGACCAAGCTATCAATGCGGACTAACTGTGGAACTTGAGAACTACAGTTTCGGGGTAGTTAAAGACTTTATATACCTTGGTACCGCCATAAATAAAATGAATGACATCAGTTTTGAAATTCCGAGAGGTTGATTGGCCAACCGATGCTACTATAGTCTAAGTAACCAGTTTAGAAACAATGCCACCTCCCGCCAGACCAAACTCACACTTTACAAGACGCTGATATTACCCGTGCTGTTATATGGATATACAAGCAGATGAGGCAGCTCTTGGAGTGTTTGAAAGAAAAATTCTCCGAAAGATCTACGTGCCGATCTGCGTCGACAATGAATGTCGGCGTCGAATGAACAATGATCCTTACAATTTATACGCGGACATCGACATAGTCAGTCGTATTGAGCTGCAACGACTATGGTGGCTAGGCCATGTTGTGCGAATGAATGTGAATGCCCCAGCTCATAAGGCATATAAAAGCGAGCCTACTGATGGTTAACGCAGAAGGGGAAGGCCAAGAATTAGATGGAAAGACCAAGTAGAAAACAACATCTTGGAACGTGGTCTTTCAAATTGGAGGAGATGCGTACAAGTCCGACGCGTTTTGAAATCTTTTTTAAGCTCGGCTTATGGAACAACCGTTCTCTAACAAGCTAGCTAAGTAATTAAGTACAAGGCCTAGAATTTATAAATTATTTTGGTAAAGCCTTGTACAAGGCGTAGAATTTATACATTTTTTAAAGCCCTGTACAAGGCGTACATTTAAAAAAAAATTAACGAGCATATTTTATAAAAAAAAATTAAAAAATTTTCAATACCACATTCGAAAACATTTCTGATTATGGTAACATCTAAGTCTCCATTTCAGAAACCGACGTTTTATTTAATTCGAATCTATACCGTTATAATATTTTTCCTTTCTGTGAAAATTTAATAAACTTTTGGGGATACAGCGAATTAATGGCAGAAGCGATATGCGAAGGGAGAGCTTTGTAAAATTGTTGTCTTGGTTTATAATTGGTATCAAAAACCAATGGATTTTTATTTCAGTCTATATCATATTCCCATTTTTTAAAATTACATCCATATTTTAACATTTATTTCAATACTTACTTATTTGTGAGCCTCCAATAACAGGACAGACGTAATATTTCGAACGATAATCCTCTGAGCCAAATTCGTTTAATGTTGTCCAATAAAGTAAGGCCCCTTTGGGTAAACTAACACTGAATTGGAGTTGAGGGAATATCACCGAGCCACCCATTTTTGGTTGTTGCAACTACAAAAAGAAAAATAACAACACAAATAAGACCCAAATACTGAAAATATTCTCTGCGTAACTTCTTCAATATTTACATTAAACATTACACCAGCTTGTCTTGTGGTAACTGACTTTGGCTTCGTCGTCGTTGCTGTCTTCTCCATTTCCATAATATTTTCGAAATTGTAAAAATCGAAACGCCAATTTTTGGCATTCAACGCAGCACGTTCATGACCAATGACTGAATGCAATTTTTCATTGAGTCGGTGCATTTTTTTCAGACCAATATTTGTCAACTGTAACATGCCATTGTCGTCGTCATCATCACCACCAATGGAATTGTCCTCCTCCTGTTTTTCAACCAAAAACTCCTTCAATTCATTCAATTGTTTGTCATTCACAGCTTAATGATAGATGACAATGAAAGGATCCACATTCAAAATTTCCACTTTCAGTGGTTGTAACAACAACCATTTTGAATTGTATGCAACCAGAGAACATTGAGGAATTTTGTTGTAGTTGTCGATGTTGTTGTCAGTTGATGTTTCCAGTTGGGCGGTATGGATTTGTTGCTGCTGTTGTTGGCTATTGGTTGCCTCCCGGCAAATTTCCTCAATCATCAATTCTTCGTCAGTTTTCTTGATTTGAATCTGTGTGAGTATGGGTGTTTGTGGAAAAGATACAAGATACAATGTGAGGGAGGGAGAACAAAGAACAATTGAATTAGAAAAGGAAATTGAAGATTTGATCGAAAATAATCTATGTTGAGATGATGTTGTTGACGATGCGGATGGATGTAAGAAAAGTTAAAATTTTGTTTTTGAAAGGTCGAGGGAGTATATATGTTACATTATTTGTATTAACTTTATTTTCAATTAAATTCGGATGGGTATTTTTTTTTGTAATTAGTTTTCAAGAATCCACTTAACCTTTTAAATATTGCTTCGTTTAGATAACTTTTTCAAGAAACCTATTTTTTATTTTATATTCTCTACCATAAGACGGAATGTATATTAAATTTGTGATTCCATATGACATGCCTCGCAACATTTGTTGGAAATCCAATAAAGTGTACGTCTGTCTCCTGAAATCATGATAGTGACCGCAATATTTAAGACTGATATTTTGCACAGACATCCGTACCAAAATATATTTATATTGATCCAAGTTTCAGGGTAGCCCCCATATAACGGTACTCCTGGATGGATTTTGGACAAGTTTTCCAACCGAATTGACTCTAATTTTGTATTTTGGTTTTTCATTGGCTGTCGAATCGCACTATCAAAAAATATCAATATTGATCTCCGTTTAATTATTGCCCCATATAACTGTAGCCCCACTCATAGGTGTTTTGAGATGTTCAATCATCTTTTTGATAGGTATTTTTCGATATGTTTAAGGTCCTATTATAACATGAGTATTCTCCCCCATTAATTTTATATATTCGATTGGCATCCTCATGGTAGAAGAAATCACGTGGTGGTGACATCTACCACATTTATGATGGATCTTTGAAATTTGGCTCATACATTGCTAATTCTACTAAGATGGTTGCCACTGAAACTGTCATAAATTGCATTAGATTTTGGTAAATTAAAATACCCACAGGCAGACTGTTCCCCCAATGATCGAAAAAAATCCTTAAGAAGGAACCCGAACATTTATATAATTAGTCGATGCAATAACAACAAAAAACCGAAGTTGCCATATTTAGCCATTACGGGTTCTTGGCGGTATTTTGAGAGCTTAGGGGTCTGTAAATGAATTTCTACCCAAGAACATTTCAATATAGTTCCACGTTTTTTGGTCTAGCCTAAAATTTAAACTTTAAAGATATCGGCACATCTTTAGGTGTATACCCTATATAAAGGTCCCTCCCATAACATTTTTTATTTTATATGATAATCGGTTGGTGCCAAGTCCGGATTGTATGGCGGATGCATTGAAATTTTCCAAAAAATAGGGGTACTTTTGTATGGGGACTACCAGAAAACGTGGACAGAGTGTTCCCCAAATGGAACACTCTGTGCAAATTACAGCCAATTTGATCATAAAATGTGTCTAATAGACAAACAATACCTTAAATCCGGAGGTTCGGTTATATGGGGGCTATATTAAAACTTGGACCCAGGGATTTCTATATTTGCTTTGACATAAGAAACATGTAAGCAAAATTTTGGCCGCCTATGTCAAGTGGTTCGGCAGTTAATGAGTTTATACCCAATTTTTGGGTAAATACTCGGGTATTTACCTAAGTCTTTAAAGTATCGTAAAACTATCCATTCTACATCGATTTGATAACAGAAACCCGGAAATAGGGTTAAGATTTTGTATTACCGATTCAATATAGTAAATAGTCAAAAAAAAATACCCGCAACTGAGTATTTAGCCACCCCTTGGGTTGTCAATATCGGCCCACGTTTTATAGTTTTGAGATTTTAGGGAAAATCTCCATGGTGGAGGGCATACTAAGTTCGTCACGTCTCTTTCATTTCGTTATTACATTTACCTTTTTCTCTGCTTTTTCATTTTGTTTTCCATTTAAATATTTTTTCGTCTTTTCCATATCGTCATTAATTAATTTTATAGCTTTTATAACACTTTTTTGCTTCGGGTTGAATTGTAACATTTCATCGGCTATTTTCAACGCTTTGTCTAAATTGCCTATAAAAAATAAAGAAAAGAAAAAAACATGAACAATATTAATTAAATTACACAAAAAATTTATGTTACAGAAGAATATTTTCACAAATTTAACAAGTAATAACAAACTTTATTTCTTGTTTATGATTGTGGTAGATTTATTTACGTTTTTATTGAAAACATTTACTATTACACACTAAAAAAATATCCTTTGAATAATCGCCTACCTGATTTATATTCCACATTCATCAGAGCTCCCAAAACTTCCAAACGTGCCTTTATTCTAAAATCATTTAAATTTTTAGCAGCAGAATCTGTGATGTCCGTTTCCGTAGAATTTTGTTGTTGCTGTTGCAAATTCTCCACAATAGGTATCTTCTCTAAGGCCGTTTCCATCCAATATTTCGCATTTGCGGGATAACCATTCTCATTTGACTTTAGACCAAGTTCTAAACAATCACTCCAGGACATTTCAGAACTATGGGAAGAAGAGTGTAAGTTAATGTGTGTGTGTGAGTGATGAGTAGTGAAGAAATTGCCAAGGTAATGAATAACATTAATGCCATCATTTGTGTTAATTTCCAATTTACAATTTCTTGGAAGCAATTTTAAATTAGTCGCCGTCTACTTACCCCATTTTAATGCCATTTACTTCACCCACTGACAATCGTTGTGGTTCTAATTTGAACATATCTTGAATACGCAGCAGAGCAAACAAAGCCGATTCGTAATCTTCATCGGTGGGGAAGGTGATTTCTTCATTTTGTGTAATGTTTTTGGTTAGCTCTGAAAGATAAATTAAAATAAGAAGAAATTAAAATTACTTGTTTATTGTATTGAACTCATTCGAAAGATAATTAATTGGAATTAATTAAGAATATGTCAAGAAAATAGACCTGCGGAGTTTTAAAATTCTATGAACATGAAGGGCAGAGTTTATTGGCTAAAGATAGACGTTGGATACAGAGGAATATTTATTATGTTATTTAATTTTATTCTATAATATAACCCTTAATTTTTTCTCGAGTTTTACAAAACATGTTTCCAGAAATGTCGATAATATAACTGAAAATGTTAAACAGCGACATGCAGGCTGTCGTAGGTGATGGGACTGCCATATATCCCTACCTAAAAACACTACCTAGTTTATTTTTTGCAGTGGTTGTAGTCCTTGCTTATTTAGGGATGGACGCTGCATTTTACAAATATGCATTTTACAAATATTTGAAAGATACAAAGGAATACCGTAGTTTAACTTACCTGCACAAACAGCACTTGCAATAGATTTCTGTACAGGAAAGTCAAAAGTGCAGATATCTTCAAGGGAATCTGATAAAATGTACTAAAGAACTGTATTTTACTAGCTAAATCCAAAGTGCTATGCTATGTGCAAGGCAGCCAAATAAAAACTACTGTAAGTGAAAATATTTATAAACCAGTGAGAGGAGCAGTATATACCCTACACCACCATATAGTACTCTACACAACTACCACGAAAATCTAAGTTTCTACGGTTCAATATTCTTGACCGATTATAGGTCAACAGCTCCACTTTCTAACCCTGGCATTGTTTCCAAATCTTGTTTTCCCGAGTAGAATATTTTCGCCATAAAACACAAATTTTGTCACTTTAGGTTTTGATTGATTCGACCTAAGGAATATTGACCGATTGTAATCTTAAGAGCCGTTCTAAGTATTTTGTCATATTCCCTTAACCGTATATATCTTAACATCAACGAAAATTATAGACGTCGTGCCTGACCATAACGGAACTTCATGTAAAATTTCAAGCGACCAACGCTATATTTACGCCATCTGTTGGGGTACTGAACAATATCAATAACAATATCATAACATATAGACACCTATAAATATTAGGCTGGGGAAAACAAATCCATTAGGCCGGTATTCGAAAATGTCGATAAAAATGGAGAAATGACCGAAGTTCACCGGCATGTTAGCAGTCGTAACATCGCCCAGGAGCTAAAAATCGACCATAAAACTGTTTTAAACCATTTACACAAGTCTGAATTCAAGAAGAAGTTCCGATTAACAGAAAAAATAGGATGGAATAACATACAATAACCCTGTGCGAAAATGATTGTGGTCAAAGAGCGGTGAAGCATCTCAAACCCAAACCAGGACTAATGGTCAGGAAGGTTCTGCAATGAATTTGGTGGGATGGAAGGGGATTATTAGGCCAAACGCTAAATTCTGATCTCTACTGTCAAGAACTGGACCGTTTGAAGATATCAATTAACCAGAAACGGCCAGAATTGGCTAACAGGATAGGGGTCGTGTTCCACCAGGACCACGGTTGTGAAATTTTAATGCATCCGCCATACAGTTCGGACTTGCCACCAAGCGATTATCATATTTTCATTGCAAAATTTCTTTAAAGATAAAAAATTGGTATCTAGGGAGGATTGTGAAAATCGACTACTAGAGTTTTTTGCAAATAGAGAGTAGGATTTCTCTGAGAGAAGCATTATGAAATTACTTTCAAAATGGCAACAAATCATACAACAAAACAACATATTTGGCCCAAATCGGACATTCCGAAGCATGTTTAATAAAATCCTATACTTCATAAAAAAATAATGGATTTCTCTTTATTTCCTATATTATTACAATTATCACCCAAATACCTCAACATTTTACCGAAGACTTAATTTGAGACCACTATAATACGCTACATATCACAAATGTTACACGGTAAAGGAATATATGGTCTACTAATTACAATGTCTGTTTTGATAATGATCGGTCAATATTTAGCGGCTCAAATGAATCAAGATTTTCTTGTGTAAAATAAAAAATAATCTTATGGGGAAAATATTCACTTCGGGAAATATGCTTCGGAAAAGATGCCAGGTTAAAAAAAGTGGAGGAGGTTGCAAATATTGCGATCTATTGCCCAGGCTCCTAATGTACACACGTAGAGAATTAGAGTTCAGTGGTAGTTGTGTAGAGTATCATATTGTCTGTCCTGTCTGACTATACGACTCCGCTCAATATTTGGCATATGTATTCGCCAAAAAAATGAATAAGCAAAAAAGGAGGAAAAAATGATTTGCGGAGGTCTAAGGAACCCAACGGTCAATAACCAAAAAAGTAGATCAATAACCGTGGTATATTTGTACCCATTCAAATTTAACGCTGTAATTTCTTCAAAAATTGGACTATCGTAAGGTTTTTTATAATTATTTATAGGTATTCTTTTTTATAGGAATCTTATTTAGGTGTTCCCCAACCCCTCTACAAATTTGTAGCCCTACATAACATGGGACCATCAGAACGACTCCTAGAAATCAGCAAACACATTGGGTTTCCTTTGGTATACAGCGACTACCACAATGGTTATTGTCCGTTACTTTCAAATTATATAGATTATCATTTAAACGTAGATTTTAATATATTCTTTTAATCTATACATAATTTTGAGTTCATACATCTAGATCAGATCCGTAAAGACTAATTAATATAAAATAAAAAACACGATAGTCCAATTTTTTAATGAAATTTTCTCTGAGAAAATGACAGACACTGAGGTTGGAAAATTCGGTAAATTTAGAAAAATGTAAGTCTACAGTTTGATAAAGGGTTAGCCGAAGTGTCGAGGATATTTCTGCCGTTCATAGTAAATGATCCATATCAGTCAATGTCAAGGCGTTCTTGATAATTAGGCCTCGTCCAGACCACTTTGTGGCATTTTTTGTTAATAATTATTCTTAAAATATCCACGACTATTGCTTTTAAATGTCTTTAAAGAATATTCTTGAATGATCCACGCCTATTGGTTTATTGTTCAAAAGTGTATTGTTCAAAAAGTCTATTGGTCTTATATACCGTTCAAAAATTTCGCAAACAAAAATCGAAATATTCCTAAAAAATCCACGCCTAATGGTCTTATATAACTTTCGAAAATATTCTTGAAAAAATCCAACACTCGATATCGTTCAAAAATATTCATAAAACATACACTCCTTTTGAATATTCTTACAAAATCCACCACTACTAGATCCGAAACATAAAAACATACATTGATCTACAGTTTTGGAAACAACTCTAGTTTAGTAAAAACGATCAGATTTTTCTGCATTTTTTCCAGAGGTAGGTAATTTTACCCTAATTATGAGGGTATCTTTTTTTCTTGTGGAACGTACCCGGTTATTTTAGAAAGGGCAAATTGTGGTCTATCAGTATTGGAGAGGGACTGTAATGGACCTAAGTTCGACTTTTAAGGGGTTTTTCAATAAAATTGGGGTCCAAAATGCAGTTTTTTTTGACTGTATCTCCAAAACGGTTTGAGATTACCCTATATCATATATCAATGGAAAGGTATTTTTATAATCTTTAAAAGTATACCCATTTTATATTAACCGGATCCGTAGAACCGGATATAACCGGGTACCCGTATCCGAACTTCTGGGTCAAATAACCGGGTAACCGGGTACGTCCCCCAAGAGAAAAATATATCCCCTTAATTAGGTTAAAAATTCCAACCTCTGGAAAAAATTTCAGAAAAATTTGATCGTTTTTACTAAACTAGAGTTATGCCCAGTTTTGTATAGACCGGATGTTTTTGTTTTGCAATTTACAGAGATATTTGTCTTACCTTCGGTATCCAAATAATCTTCAGCATAATTCGTCAAACCCTTCCAATCGGAGGTTATACGCTTCAGCATAGTTACGGCATTAATGGGATTATTTAAATAACCTTCACGATTATCACCAACACCATCGTAAATATTTTGGATTTCTTGAGTTTTCCTAAAATTGCAAAAATTGAAAAAAATTACGATACATTTTTTTCATTTCATCCCTTGTTCATAGTTAATTTTCTGATTATATTTGTTTTATGATAATTTCAATAATTTTCCCTTTGTGCCTTACCTTCTTAAGCTATCCAATTTTTGTTCTTGTACATCAATGTAATGCCTTAGGCCATCAATTATAACTTTTTCAGTGTGCAGCAATTCAAGTAAATCATCTTGACCAGTAATGGTGTTGGTGGTGGTTGTTGTAATCAATTCTCCATTTACCAAGAAATTCGTTTTGAAGAAAAAGGCAAACAATGCCAACGAAAAAATTGAACAAAATTTCATTATTGGGTTGGCTATTGGTGTCTATGGTGTTTGGAATCTTTCTCTGTTTTTGTTTGTTCTTGTTCCTATTTGTTTTCTTTCTCTGCTATATTAGCCGTGGGTCCGTGGGGTTCAGTGAACTTTTGATCTGTTGCCTTTAGC